CCGCGACGAGAAAATCTTAGACACAGATGACATACAAGAAGACGAAGTGGAGCAAATGGACGTTGTTGAAAAAGACAATATCCCGCAGTCTAACAGTAATACACGAAGTGAATCATCGAAACGCATGGCTCCTAAGCCACTAATACCTCAATCACCTCAAACGTTGCCAATGAAGACACAACAAACATACGATCCTCAAACAATAACATCCTCACATGACAATCAGCCACAAACTGGTGGAAACCTTCAACGACCACCAGTACGCGGAAATCTTCACTGGTCGCCATCACAAACACACAGTAAAATCCAGCATTCACAAACCGATGAAAACGTACCAGATTTACAAGCAGCTGCAGCTACCCGCCCTCATGCAACCCGGCAAATTCAACGACCAGTCAGCAATGTTTTTTCGCAAAGATAAGAGGCTTCATTACCATTGTCACCACTTAGACTTAGTCGAGCCCGCGACGAAGAGAAAACCTCTCCTGTATTAAAGATGAAGAGTCAAAAGAAATAAACAATAGCCTATTAAATACTAAGTTATGTCATAACTCTAAAACTATCGTAATTAAACCAAAGCTAAATTAACAATAACAATAATACATCATTCTACTTCAAGAAGTCTAAAAGTCTAAGAAATCAAGAAGTCTAAAAGTCTAAGAGATCAAGAAGTCTAAAAGCCTAAGAAGTCTAAAACTCTAAAATATAAAAGTCTAAGAAGTCTGAAAGTTCAACAGTCTAACAGTTTAAGAAGTCTAAAAGTCTAAAATGTGTAAAAAGCAAGGGGAAAACACCGTACTCGCTAACTCCGACACTCCTCGGAGTGACGGAGTGACCCTGGAGTGAATGCAGTTTGTGGTGTTATTTAAAATTAAACTCTATAAGTAACTTAATTTCACATCGAAAAATTACTAAGACTTTTACTGAAAAATGAAAATTAATGAAAACTTGTGAAACATACATAGTTCAACTCAGTTTTCGACGCTGATTCCGAATATAATGTTTGAATTATATACAAGTTGAGTTCTGATGAAGAAAACAGTGAATTAAGGGCAGAATTTTTAGTTTTTCGCTCCTAATTTAGAAAAAATGAATTTTCTCAGTAGGAAAGTAAAATGGAGAAAAAGGCGATGCATACTATTAAAGCTCGTACAATAGCAGTTCTAATGAAGTAAAAAGGTCGGCTTCATCTCTTCACAAAAAAAACCTAGATAGATCTACAAAAGAAACATGTACCATTTTTGATGATCTGATCACCGAAGCCATGCTCATCGAGTTTTGAGTTTGAAGTCAAGTAAATATCAGTTTTATATTCAGATTTTAAT